TATGTGTCCCCAGTTATAAATGAATGAACAGGATGTGATTTGCATCACCTCCTGTTCATTCATAAGTTTCTCAATGGGGAGAAGCACTCTGTACAGAGGCTCCTCCCCATTCAGAAACTGCTTGATAGTAAAATATTTTCTGAATGAATGGGAAGCCTCTGTGCTTCCCATTCATTGAGCGCTGAGGCTGCAGAAAAAGAGATTGCGGACTTTGTGGCCTCCAATTTCTTTTTCTCTGGGAGGGGGTGTGGAACTGTATTGAAGTCAATGGCATCGCCCTCGCTCGGCACATTAGTGCCTGCATTCCGGTCCAGTGCGATCTGCAAAAATAGTGCTCGCAGCATTTTTGCGGCTTGCACTGGGCTGGAACACAGGCACTAATGCAGGCGATCGCACTGTGGGCGAGGGGGCCTGCCTGCGCAGCCCACGCCCCCTCCCGCCCCTGAATGCAGGTGTTTTTTCGTTGGTAGATCTCAATGAGCTCGTCATTTGAAAAGTAGATCTCCAGACAAAAAATAGTGGGCGCCCCTGCCATAGACACACTCCTAAACCTTGTGGACGCCTTCCCAGAAGAGGCGGAGCTGTTATAGCGACAAAGGGCGGAGCCAACCCAATACTGAACCCTACGGACTAAGACTGGAGTGCCATTAAAGTTCATGTGCGTGTACAGGCGTCCCAATACTTCTGGTCATATCGTGTATATGAGCCGGTCTCTGGAATCCTGTCTGCGGGGGCCCGTGTGTGGGAGCCGGTTTGTTCTTCTCGGTTGCCTCGTGATAGTAATAAAGTTCAACTTTAAAAAAATGTCAAAAGCATTTGAAGTGTCCCCGCCCACATGCCGCATGTGCATCCAAACGCCGATCACTTGCCGCGTTTGGCACACGTGTGCACTGAGTGAACGGAATGGTTTCAGAGCCATCGTTCATGGTTAGTGTTGGACTCCGGGATCAGCGGGTATTGTGTAAATACAGGTCATGTGACTTCTTCCCACCGACGTGGTGTGGACCGGCCCTGAGTCTCATCTTGAGCTACTGAGCTTTGTATACAGGATATTGTTTGTAACAAAGAAGCTAAAGGAAGGTAAATGTGGAAAGGAGACGAGAGCGCCATCTACTGGCTGCAGGGGGAGCTACAGATGTTCATATACAATGTTTTTTTGTTTTTTTTTAATCTGAATGGAAGATAAAAGAATTGTCAAAGGGTAATTCCAGAGTCTCATCAAATGGGAGAAAATACAATCACCCCCACAAATTTGATTGCCTATAGTATCCCCTGCTGCTCCTCCCCCAGCTTCTTCATAAAAGCGGGTGCAGGTTGGAGAGTGGAGGGGCTCAGGAGCTGGACCAGCGCAGGCAGTAGTCACACACTGAAGAGGAGCAGTATCTGACGTGCGAGGAGGGAAAGGGCTGGGGTAGGGAATTGACTCTTCTGCAGTCAATTCCCTAGGTGGTCCTCGGTGCAGGCGTGCCACGCAGCGGTCCTCGGTGCAGGCGTGCCACGCGGGGGTCCCAAGAGCAGGCCTGCCACACGGCATGAATAAGTCTATGCTGCTAATCCTCAGTGTTGATGTACATGAGATCTGCAAGATCGCATTGTTGTCCCGTGTCCCACCTGCAATGGTCACGGCTGGTCTCCCCTCCGAGATCACCCAATAAAATCCCACCCCCCCCCCCCACATTACTCCACAATAGGCAGCCTGCCCCCCACTAATGCCGTCTGTGTTCTTGTATTCCAGGTGGACCTTGCTGCTAATCCTCAGTGTTGATGTACATGAGATCTGCAAGATCGCATTGTTGTCCCGTGTCCCACCTGCAATGGTCACGGCTGGTCTCCCCTCCGAGATCACCCAATAAAAACCCACCCCCTCCCCCCACATTACTCCACAATAGGCAGCCTGCCCCCCACTAATGCCGTCTGTGTTCTTGTATTCCAGGTGGACCTGTCTGAGTTGGCCCCTGAGGAAAGATGGAGGTGAGTCTCACCCTAGGACAGGACAACGGAACAGCTCCCCCCAGATACTGGGGAGTGAGCTGTGTGTACTGGAGTGCAGATCTCACTGGTGACATGGATACTGGGGGGTGAATTGTGTGTACTGGGGTGCAGATCTCACTGGTGACACGGATGCTGGGGAGTGAGCTGTGTGTACTGGAGTGCAGATCTCACTGGTGACACGGATGCTGGGGAGTGAGCTGTGTGTACTGGAGGAGTGCAGATCTCACTGGTGACACGGATGCTGGGGAGTGAGCTGTGTGTACTGGAGGAGTGCAGATCTCACTGGTGACACGGATGCTGGGGAGTGAGCTGTGTGTACTGGAGGAGTGCAGATCTCACTGGTGACACGGATGCTGGGGAGTGAGCTGTGTGTACTGGAGGAGTGCAGATCTCACTGGTGACACGGATGCTGGGGAGTGAGCTGTGTGTACTGGAGGAGTGCAGATCTCACTGGTGACACGGATGCTGGGGAGTGAGCTGTGTGTACTGGAGGAGTGCAGATCTCACTGGTGACACGGATGCTGGGGAGTGAGCTGTGTGTACTGGAGGAGTGCAGATCTCACTGGTGACACGGATGCTGGGGAGTGAGCTGTGTGTACTGGAGGAGTGCAGATCTCACTGGTGACACGGATGCTGGGGAGTGAGCTGTGTGTACTGGAGGAGTGCAGATCTCACTGGTGACACGGATGCTGGGGAGTGAGCTGTGTGTACTGGAGGAGTGCAGATCTCACTGGTGACACGGATGCTGGGGAGTGAGCTGTGTGTACTGGAGGAGTGCAGATCTCACTGGTGACACGGATGCTGGGGAGTGAGCTGTGTGTACTGGAGGAGTGCAGATCTCACTGGTGACACGGATGCTGGGGAGTGAGCTGTGTGTACTGGAGGAGTGCAGATCTCACTGGTGACACGGATGCTGGGGAGTGAGCTGTGTGTACTGGAGGAGTGCAGATCTCACTGGTGACACGGATGCTGGGGAGTGAGCTGTGTGTACTGGAGGAGTGCAGATCTCACTGGTGACACGGATGCTGGGGAGTGAGCTGTGTGTACTGGAGGAGTGCAGATCTCACTGGTGACACGGATGCTGGGGAGTGAGCTGTGTGTACTGGAGGAGTGCAGATCTCACTGGTGACACGGATGCTGGGGAGTGAGCTGTGTGTACTGGAGGAGTGCAGATCTCACTGGTGACACGGATGCTGGGGAGTGAGCTGTGTGTACTGGAGGAGTGCAGATCTCACTGGTGACACGGATGCTGGGGAGTGAGCTGTGTGTACTGGAGGAGTGCAGATCTCACTGGTGACACGGATGCTGGGGAGTGAGCTGTGTGTACTGGAGGAGTGCAGATCTCACTGGTGACACGGATGCTGGGGAGTGAGCTGTGTGTACTGGAGGAGTGCAGATCTCACTGGTGACACGGATGCTGGGGAGTGAGCTGTGTGTACTGGAGGAGTGCAGATCTCACTGGTGACACGGATGCTGGGGAGTGAGCTGTGTGTACTGGAGGAGTGCAGATCTCACTGGTGACACGGATGCTGGGGAGTGAGCTGTGTGTACTGGAGGAGTGCAGATCTCACTGGTGACACGGATGCTGGGGAGTGAGCTGTGTGTACTGGAGGAGTGCAGATCTCACTGGTGACACGGATGCTGGGGAGTGAGCTGTGTGTACTGGAGGAGTGCAGATCTCACTGGTGACACGGATGCTGGGGAGTGAGCTGTGTGTACTGGAGGAGTGCAGATCTCACTGGTGACACGGATGCTGGGGAGTGAGCTGTGTGTACTGGAGGAGTGCAGATCTCACTGGTGACACGGATGCTGGGGAGTGAGCTGTGTGTACTGGAGGAGTGCAGATCTCACTGGTGACACGGATGCTGGGGAGTGAGCTGTGTGTACTGGAGGAGTGCAGATCTCACTGGTGACACGGATGCTGGGGAGTGAGCTGTGTGTACTGGGAGCAGATCTCACTGGTGACATGGATACTGGGGAGTGAGCTGTGAGTGCTGGAGTGCAGATCTCACTGGTGACATGGATACTGGGGAGTGAGCTGTGTGTACTGGAGTGCAGATCTCACTGGTGACACGGATACTGGGGGGTGAGCTGTGTGTACTGGAGTGCAGAACTCACTGGTGACACGGATAATGGGGAGTGAGCTGTGTGTACTGGAGGAGTGCAGATCTCACTGGTGACATGGATACTGGGGGGTGAATTGTGTGTCCTGGAGTGCAGATCTCACTGGTGACATGGATACTGGGGAGTGAGGTGTGTGTACTGGAGTGCAGATCTCACTGGTGACACGGATACTGGGGAGTGAGCTGTGTGTACTGGAGTGCAGATCTCACTGGTGACACGGATACTGGGGAGTGAGCTGTGTGTACTGGAGGAGTGCAGATCTCGCATTAGACTTTTTGGATGAATGGCTTGCTGTGATTTGCTGGGAATGTGTCTGATATGTTCCCGTGTATTGTCTCTTCCCTCACAGGGTGGAACATGCCCGAATGCACGCCAAGCACCGAGGCCACGAAGCTATGCACGCGGAAATGGTGCTGATTCTCATCGCCACCCTGGTGGTGGCCCAGCTGCTGCTCGTGCAGTGGAAGCAGAGGCACTCGCGCTCCTACAATGTAAGAGAATGGGGTACCCCAAAAATGTTTTGCTTTCTTAACCGTCTCCTATACCAGTGGGATGATTGCAGCTCCCAGTTTCCTGAAAGTTCGTGTACTGGGAATGATGGGAGCATGCCCTGGACGACAGGGAAACTACATTTCAGGACCGGTCTTATTGTATCTGCCGCTTGCTTCTGGTTAATGTCACAAACAGTGATCCCCCATCCCCCGAGAACAGGACTGTGTACATGGTGCAGGAGACACGGATGCACTGTTGTCACGGGGTACACTGGAAATCACTGTGACACGTACACACTGGTGACATTCGGAGGCACGGGGGCCCACAGGTTGACACTGGCTTACACAGGTGACCCTTGGTGGCATGCAGGACACACAGGATGACCCTGGGCTGCACTCTTGACATTTAGAGGCACGGGGGAGCACTAGATTACATTGGGGTGTACAGGTGACACTTGTAGGCATGGGAGTGCACTAGATGACACATGGGGGGGGACAGGATGACACTGGCAGACACTGGTGATACTTGGCGGTACGGGGGGGAGACACT